TACAAATGAGAAAACAGGGCTTAGAGAGGTTAAGTGACTTGCTTAAGGTCAAACAAGTTATGACATGGTAGAGAGGAATCAAACCTAGTCTGTCTGGTTTCAGAACCTAAATTCCCAAGTGACCAAATATTTTCCTTCTGTGAAAATGAGGTAAAAATTAAAGTTATGATCTGTTAAAAGCCCTAACACAGAGTATTATCATGGGTATGTGGGAAAGATAAGGTTTACATGGAGTATAACAAACAAACATACAAAACCCAAACGTTATACTTTGAATAATGAAAGGAAACAGAAGAGGTATGTATATCCAAATTTAAGAGAATATTTAAAGGAGTGTTGTTTTATATATTTGAATATACTGAACAAAGTAAAATTTCTAGATGACACGAACAAATTTTTTATCTCACTTAAGAAGATAAAAGAACTCTAGATTAAGTAATCAAATATCAAAGAATCGAGCTGACTCACAATTTTCATTAAAAACTTTTTTCAGAACTTTATTAGGAATTCTTTCTCATTTTTTAAAAGCAGCAATGTATATACAATAAACTTTGGTTTCTTATTATTTAAATTTGTCAAAAAATAAAAACAATCTGAGAAAATAAGAGTACTATACCTTTTCACTAATGTTGCAATCTTCAAATTTTTCTGTAGAGGCATTTTCTGATCAATTTGATTTTACAGAGTAAACAATAGTTATTTATCAATGCCTTCATCTGTATAACTCTTCCCATTTTATTACTGACATTGTTATTTAATTGAGGATTTTTTTTTAAATTTCTCAAAGCCCTATTAATTTGTTGTCAATGGAATACACAGTCATGCACTGCTTAGTGTCCATGATATATTCTATGAACTAGGACATTATGTAATTTGGAAGTTATGAAAACAAGCCTAAATCGCAAGCAATAGCATTCACTGATTTTCCACCTTTGTGTTGTTTAATGACCTTTTGCTTCACTTAGGAAAGCTATATGGGATACTGTAGTGTACCTGTATTGACTAATAGCCAAGATACTGTACACATATAGTACTGTATTTCAGCTAATGCATCTGGCAAGGTAAATATATGGGTTAAGTGGGTTAATACTGTTTAATACTGTATACGTAACATAATAACACATTGTAAATATATACTAGTGTATACATAGGCTAATATGTAATCTGTACTTACCACAACTGGAGCTTGCAGGGCTCATGTAGTGTTGGGTGAGTCTGGAGGCTGTTACCAGTATGGTTTTGTACCATACAAGACACTGAACTTTACACTAAATTACTGTAGGTACACTATAATACACTGTACAGCTGTATGTACAATAAATACTTCTCTTATTTTATTTCTATAAACTAACCTGAGGCTACTTTGTAAACATTTATTTTTAAACTTTAAAATTTTTTTTCACTTTTAAAACTTTTATGTAAACACTTTCTTAGCCTGTATCACACACAATTTAACAAAGAGAATCAGGGTCATCCACATCACTGTTCTCAACTTCCTCATAATGTTCCACTGGAAGACTTTCAGGTCGAATAACCTCCATTGATGACTGTCACCAACAATGATAATATAACCTCCTGTAATACCTGAAGGACCTGGCTGAGGGTCTTCTTAGGGAGGTGATGGCTTCTTCAAGATATGTCCAGTGTTGTTTGATTAGTTTGCTTTTTCTTTTCTTCATTAATTTCTTTACACACAGCAAACACTGCATGAGCATTCCCCTCTATCAACGAAAAGCGTTCAGTGTTTGGGTCCATCTCTTTAGCACTCTTCAGCAAGCCGTTATGGTCTACAAAGAATTTGGCTAACCCCTTACCAGTGAACCTCTTTACACCTGTTCTTCTCCTTCTGCGGTTTCCTTTCCCCTTGCCTCTTCTTCAGTTATTCGCTCTTCCTCTAGCTCCAGCAACTCTTCATTAGTTAGTTCCTCAGGAACCACCTCTAGGAGTTCTTCAATGTCCTCATCATCTCTGTCTAGGTTCAGGTTGTTGTTTACCATACCAACAACGGCTCTATTAATCCTTGTAATCTCATTATCCTTTTCAAATCCCTTAAAGTCATGCATATACCACTTCAGTATTTTTTTCCATACGCCATTCACACACTCTTTGGTTACATCATCCCAGGCCGAGCAAGGCTCCTTATGCACTAGTAAATGTTGCACTCCTTCCAGAACCGTAACAGTGTCTTGACAGTGTCATCAGTTGCAGCAATAGCTTGAACAAAGGTCCTCTTCAGGTAGAAGGCCTTGAATGCTGCAATAACCCCGTGGCCCACTGGCTGGATTAAAGAAGCAGTGTTTGGTGGAAGGAACACCACTTTGATGTTGGGGTGGAGGTCACCAATGAAAGGGAGACATCCTGGAGCACTGTCTACAATTAGCAAAATCTTGAAAGGTATGCCTTCTTCCAAGCAGTATTTCTTCATTTCACTGGCATGGCAATTATGAAGGGCATACTGAAACAGCACTTGTGTCATTCAGGACTTTTCATTGCACCTGCAATAAACCGGTAAGGTGTGTTTGTTAATGTTCTTGAAAGCCCCGGGGTTTTCACTATGCCAAATAACAAATGGCTTTAACTTGTAGCCAGCAACATTGCCTCCTAACAATACCGTCACTCTGTCTTTAAAAACCTTAACACCTGGCATTTACTTGCCTTCCTTATGGATGAAGGTCCTTTTAGGCATTTGCTTCCAGAATAAGGAGGTTTCGTCCATATTAAAAATTTGCTGCGGCAAATAACCTCCCTCTACAATTAGTTTATCTAAGGTTTCAACAAATTCTGCTGCCTTGACATCAGCACTTGCAGACTCACCACTCGCTTTCACATCATGCAGTGAAAATGCTGTTTGAAGTGCTTGAACCACTCAGAACTGGCACTGAACTAAATTACCGTAGTCTCGTCCTGCTTCTTCTTTCAGCATCTTGAACAAGCTTCATGCCTTAGCAGTGATCATCAACTTGCTGAGAAGGATCTGCTTTTGTGTTTGGAACTAAAACCACATCATTAGCAATTTCTCCATATCTGATATAGGTCCCTCTCATATTTTCATTAGTCTTGCAGCTTTCAGTGGAGCTGATCCTTTAACAGCTTGGAGAATTTTTCTTTGTTCTTGAGGATCGTCACAAATGTCAAGTGTGACGTGCCTAAATTGCGAGCAAAAACATTCACTGATTTTCCAACTTCGTGTTGTTTAATAACCTTTGTTTCACTTCCAAATCGATACTCTCCTTTGCCTCTTGCTGCTGCTATCACTAGCACTGGTTTTGCTGCATTTAGGAGTTACGACACACTTCACAGTAATGTTTTCGAAAGAAAATTAAACAGGTAATGCTATAACACTCAAGACGCGCGATACACAAGATTGGATGCTGCTACCTACAAATCAAAGCATACACCGTTACACGGTAAACTTTTTATTTGTAAGTAGGGAAAGTTCACATTAAAATAACAAGAGAAAGTACAATACAGTACATACGTAAGCCAGTAACACAGGTGTTTATTTAAGACATGTATTACAGGTTATATATGTACTGTACCATTATACTCCTGGTAGCACAATCACTTTGTATACAAAAGACAAGAGATACACATGCTGCATGCAGAAAGCTGTTGCCTTTGCTATATCCTGTTATGTCTGCTACATCCTGTTGTCCCATTGGGATTTCTGAACTCTATTATAACCTTACAGGACCAAGGACATAAATGTGGTTGGATGTTGCCTGAATGGACATTATGCAGATTATTCTCAAGTTAGAAAAACTGTGCTTAGCTTTCTGTATTTAAATTCATGTCTTTTACCCAAACCACTAACATTCTTTTCTAACTGGCAACTTGGAATGTTCTTTTAGCAAGTATGCATTAAACCTATTGCTGTCAAGTTGATTCCGACTCACAGCAACTCAATATGCATTAGCTAAATTAAATACTCAATATGCATTAGCTAAATTAAATTTCTCAAGTAATCTCATGTCAAAAGCTTGTTATCTTTTAATATACAGCCATAGAAAGCTAAGTATGTATTCTGTCAAAACAGCAAACTTCCTCTGATCTCCCCAGGAAGATGTCTTTCCAGCTCTGAAATACTAATTCTGACACTTACCAACAGATACATACTTTTTATATATACCAACTTACATAATGTAACCTTCATGTATTCATTTACCTTTAACACAAAAGATACGCTGTCCTAAATTAAGAATTTTATTTTTAATTAGATGAAGAAGGTACATGATGAGTCTAGCACTCACTGCGCCTCACTCGCTGTAGGCTTGAGGTACAGATACAGGATATTTTTTAATGTAAATCTGAAGCCCTGCCCAATTTTCTAAGTCAAATAACTTTGTATCTAAATGTCACTATCTTCATTTTATAATGATTTTTTTGAGGTGGAATAAATTTTTGGAGGACTGATGGTGCAGTGGTTAAGAGCTTGGTTGCTAACCAAAAGGTTAGCAGTTTGAATCTGCCAGCCACTCCCTGGAAACCCTATGAGACAGTTCTACTCTGTCCTATAAGGTCGCTATGAGTCGAAATCAACTCGATGGCAACGGGTTTTTGGTTTTATTTTAACATTTAAGCACCAACGGGCACTGGATATGAGAATTTAAATAATCCAAGGAGTTCTCGATTAAGAATAACCTTAAAATCTGGGAAACTGGGCTGATTCAAAGCTCAGGTGGAGGCAGCTGTAGATGGGTAGTACCGGGTAATCATATATTCCCACACATATCATCTTACATTAGGGAAGAAAGAGCCTCAAGTCTCATCTAATGAGCTTAGTCACTAGTTTTGAATGCTTGGTTTTAATACTAAACAAACAGCCCCACTAATGCAGACCCTCAATTCTCTCTCAGATGTCGTAACAATGGATTAAAAAAAAACTCCTGACCCTATCACACATCCCAAACACCGAAATCACAGAAGTTACTGGTTGTGTTTTCAATTTGGAAGACAAATGTAATCCTAGAAATCAAAAATTAAAAATCAGAATTCCATACCTTGAGCAAGCATGTTAAATTCCAAGAACAGCGCTATGTGGTAAAGTTCCATGGCTTCTTCTGCCCTGGTCATGTTTGGCTTCCCTGCGACGAGAGCCTGAACTTCACTGAGACTCCCCACAGAGAGGCTACAGTGCAAAACGGAGAGGTCCACCACATCAGTATACATACAGTGTAATATAACTTTCGCATATTTTTTTGGTATAATGGACTCATCTAATATAATTCTTGTGGGAGTCCTCAAAGTTCGGTCTGTGATTTCTTCACCAGTCCGTATCCTCCTTTGCAATAAATTTCGAAAAAATGGAGACCGTGCTGAAATAATAGCTTTGTGAGCTTTGAGCTCTTCATCTAAACAGTTCTGATTTCCACCAAAAGCTTCAACCAGTTCAGAGTCTGAAGAAAAACTAAGGACAACATCATAATAACACATGTAATCAAAGAGTCCACGCATATCTACATCAAGGGAATTTGGTGTTCCAAATTCTTCACTAAGCTGAACAAGGATATCAACATTTTGAAACCTTGAATCCTCCATTCCAAACTCTCCCGTATAAAGGTAGTGTAACAAAGCAGAAAACATGGGCATATCTATACCAGCTGTACTGATGTCCATTATTATCTCTGCTCCATACTCGGGTGAGGAAGAAAGCAGTGTTTTAAAAAATGGACACCTTGCCGCCAAAATGGCACGATGAACAGGAAAACAAGTTTCTTGAAATATTAAGTCTACATCAGTACAATACTTGTATTCATAAAGATCAGCCATATCTTTCTGCAATGTCCGGGCTTCTGGCCTAGCCAAACTGGCTTGTAGAGAAAGCTCCTTTAAGGCTGAAGTTCCCTCATATTCCTCCACTAGTGCATTGACATCTCTAACATCCCACCCAGAGAGGAGTTCTCGCATTTGCTTGGCATGATCGGCAGACCTGTTAGATTTTCGACGCTTAATAAACTTCTTTTTGAGGGTGGCAAGGCCAGAGGTTCTCTTTTTTTTGTCTTGTGGTTTCTCATGGCCATGGTCAAGGCTATACAATTTTGATTCACAACCATAGCCTTGCTGAGAATAGGATGATGTTCCTAAGAAGAAAATGAAACAAAAGAAAATTTGTTATTTGTCTTTAACATTCATGTTCAACACTCATTCTAATATATTTTCATGTTGAATAAATTTGCAACAGACATCGCTGAACCACTGACATGAAACTGACTTGTTTTTATAAAGGAAAATAAAAATGTTCAAATAACTCAATTTTATATTAAATAAGAAGGGATAAAGCAGATTATTCTGAATTTAAAAATAAATGCTTTTGGTTCTCCGACTATCAAGGGCCATATTTCACAGATCTTAATCATAGATTTTCTGGAAATGAGAGCTAGAGAGATTTCGAAAATAAGACTGCGTGTATATAATTGGGAAATGTTTCTTTTTTTCCTTCTTAACTACATCAACAATGCATTTACATGGGCAAATAAGTGGACCAGCACCCAAAAAGAAGTATTTCACACCAACGGAGATTGCTACTTTGGACAGAGTAATTTACAATTATGGCCAAGATAACGAAACAAAAAATCAATTGTGCTATAGCAGTTTGGTTCGGATAAATATCATAAAAGCCAGATCTACATTTGTTGGGGGAAAATATATAAATGCCACAGAATTATTATCTAGAATAACTTTTCCACAGCTCAATTACCTTTTCACCAACAGAGACCACCCACAGGAAACACAATTCTATTTATATTCACAAAAGAAAATGAAGTTGGAAAAACTAAAGAGTTACCTATAAAGGTCTGTTGGGCTTGTGAATTTGCCCCTACCCTCGGGGAACATGAATGAGGATAGTTAGATGCATTAGCACCCATTTTCTTCAGTCATTCAGGCATTCCATCTGCTGGTTCTTCAGAGTATAATCCCAGAGGCCTTTATGAACCTTCAGCCCTGGATCCAGCAGCCTCTCTTCATCCATTTCTTGATATAAAACAAAAATAATATTATTCATTTTTTCAAATTATCTCAAATCACACAGTAAGAAAAAAAAAGCAAGCTTCTGAAAATTGCTTTTATTTGCAAATAATGACGTACTGTCAAATACACACGTAAAAACTTCAGGAAATGTAAATATCTAAATCTGAATTAGGAATCTATGTTAACTGTAATTTTAACTCTAATTATATACTTTCAAAGTAATAAAAAGTAATATGTTAGATTAATGTAAATACAAACAGTTATAGCAAGTCATAGGGAAAGGTATTTGGGACAAAAAGAAATGTTTAAATTTTTTGGTTTAATCCTTAAGACACAATTACCACCCATAATTTAACATTCTGAGCAATTTACAAACACTTAACCAGTACTATCAATAGTACACATACAAACAGCAAATAATTAAGGACTGACTGGCTGTTTTTCTGCCTTATATACTATCGCTTAAATTGATCTTTAATCTGTTCAACTGGGCATTTTACTTAAAGAGCAGGAAACAAAGGTACACAGTTAAAACTAGATAATCTTTAGGCTACTTGTTCCACAGTAATTTTGACAGAAGTTACTATAAATACACTGAAGCACAAGGAAAAACAAACATTTTTATTTAACTTCCTTGTAAAGCCCCGAAATAAAAACACTGCTTTCTTTTACCTGATGACTTAATATGGACAGGGCGGTATCAGTAAGATAATTTTGACAATTACAGATTAAATTAGGAAGCACAGAAGCTTAACTCAGAGAGCTGCTAGGAGCAGGTATATGCACAAGGAGAAGAAACCGTAGCGACCTAATAGAGAACACAGTTACCAGAATACTTCTAAATCCTTACACCATCTGGATAGATAAAATTTATCCATCTAAAAGAGATAACAGTTTAAGAAGAGAATAAGAAGAGAAAACACAATTACTGGAATTGCTAGGAAGCCAATCAGCAGGCAGTTCGTCTAGCCTCATAATGAAGGACGAAGTGTTTTAACAGAGTTACACACACACACACACACACACACACCCCCACACACACCTCTCTCTCTCACCAAAAAAAACCTGCTGGAAAACAGAACTGTGTCAAGATTCTTGGAATTTATTTTCATCTCTGTTACTGACACAGCACAACCTCAGAAATTAAGAAAATTAAGAAACCTTAGTTTAAGAAAATCACTTAACATTTTATGTTTTCCTCCAGTCTTTTCCCATTATATGTATGAAACCAAAACCAAACCCGGTGCTGTCAAGTCAATTCTGACTCACAGTGACCCCAAAGGACAGAGTAGAACTGCCCCATAGGGTTTCCAAGGCTGTAATCTTTATGGAAGCAGACTGCCACATCTTCGTCTCATGGAGTGCAACCGCCAACCTTTTGGTTAGTAGCCGAGGGCTTTAACCACCGCACCACCAGGGCTCTCTCAGTCTTGGAAACCCTATGGGGCAGTTCTACTTTGTCCTATAGGGTTGTTATGAGTTGGAATCAGCAACGGGTTAATCTTTACAGAAGCAGATAGCCACATCTTTCACCCATGGAGCAGCTGGTAGGTTCGAACCGCTGACCTTTTGGTTAGAGCCGAGTGCTTTAACCACCGCGCTATCAGGGCTCCTTCACTATAGTTGTATACATACATATGATTATTTATCTAAGCACTAAGTATCTATTTATAATGTTCAAGAGAAGACTGGGAAACTTTTTACTAACTAGACATAGAAATTATGCAAAGTATCATTAACTTCAATCAAATCACATACTCAGATAAGCAAATCTTCTATTTGAAACTTGTCTACCTACCTGTAAGAACACAGCACCATAAAACTTTACTTTGTTTCATGCCATTGTAAGACAGAAAGGCTACAGGGTATGGATAGTCAGACACAAGACAGTGCATTCCACAAGAACCATACCGTAAGGAACCTAAGTCTCACTGAGCCAGTGAAGATTTATAGCACCTTCTGTACAGATTATCATGAGGACAGGTTAAATTATTTTTTTCATATAAGTATTCTTTTGGACATGAGTCTGGACTTTTTATTTTAGTTCTGCACCACACCTAGGCCAGCAAGATACTAATAAAAGGGCTTAACATACTGCTTATTTTGTAAACATTAAATGATCAGGAAAACTAATTCTTTCAGCAAAGTCAGTTTTAATTGGATGAGTATCCAATTAACCCGTTCTTAAAGTTTGATGCTTTGTTGTTGTTGTTGGGTGTCCTCAACTTGATTATGACTCATCACGACCCTACTGACAGAGTGGAAACGTCCCATATGATTTTCTTGGCAGTAATCTTAACAGAAGCAGACTGCCAGGTCTTTCTCCCGCAAGGACTCTGGGTGGGTTTGCAGCACCAACATTTCCGTTAGCAGCTGAGTGTTAACTGTTGTGCCACCAGGGTTCCAATTTGATGCTTAGTGCAAGCAAATTCCCAGTTTTCTATTCTTAAATATGGTAGAAAAGATTTTTTTTGCAATTTAGACTGAATAAACTGTCAATTTTTGCTGAACAGAAATTAAATCTGCCATGTGTTAACTTCAGTTCAAACTTAAAAACAGTAAGTCTAATAAATCTTAGTTTTCAAGCTGAGCCTCACAAGAGCATCAAGGTTCTAATTAGGCATTTTCAGTCGTTCTTTAGAAGAAAATAGAGTCCTGGAAGCCTAGTTTGCTTGTGGCCTCATTTACAAGTTAATTCTATTATGATTCATTAAAAATTTTTATTTTAAACATAAAAATGGCACAGATAATTCCCCCTCAAAAAGCCTGGAAAATATTAAACAAGATGCAGAAGGAAAACGTTATGCAAAATAAAAGACTTTACCAAAGTGAGGGAAAAAATTTAACTTAACAGGATGAGTTGAATAACTTGGAAAGGGATAGCGATTATAGCTGCACAATATGAAGAATGTAATCCATGCCACTGAATTTTACATGTAGAAATTGTTTTGTTGTTTATACTTTCACCTAACAATAAAAAAAAAGACGAGCTTTGAATGTGGGAGTTAACAGTGGATGGTGGACAATGCAGTCTACGTGTCTCTAAAGGTAAGACGGCATGTTGTGTCTCCCATGGGTAGGCCTCTTCTCACTTCTTCACTCATTCCTGCAGTTCCACTTCATTTTTGTTTTTTTATTTCTATTAACTGCGGAGAAAACTCACTATTATAGCACAGAGTATGCTGAAACAAAACAGCGAAGAAAGGAGTCTTGCTTCCTGATGAAGGAAAATCAGTCACAGAAGTGGACAGAGTTCACAACTCTCACTTCAAAACAACACCCACGTACACACAAGAATTATTTTCATCTAGGAATTTTGTGAGGTTTGTAGGGACTCAAGACACTATTACTTGGGTCTATTTGAGATTTAAATCATATCAAAAACATTTTTTTTTAAACCCTCAATTTTATGATGAGCACAATTACATATTCTAAATAAAGGATGCAACGGTTGTAAAATACCAACAGCCCCACTGAGGATGCAAGAACACCTAGCAAGCACTAGGAAAGTCACATGCTGAGTGAGCTAAGGATGCTTGGCCTTTCGACACTATAAGTAGCATCATGGGACAGCTGGGGTTTCACCATAATAACAATAAAAAAAAGATGAGCTTTGAATATGGGAGTAACAGTGGATGGTGGCCAATGCCATCTAGGTGTTTCTAAGGTAGGATGGTGTGTTGTCGCTCCAATGGGCTTGAAATAAGTGTCTCCGGAATTTAGAGGTAGAGTCTTTTCCCGATAGCACCTAGTCAATAGGAACTCCCCTTCAGGAAGAACTGATCTGGGTGACATTCATATGTCCTCGTGGAGCTCTAATACTAAAATAAACACAGGTGTTGGAAAGATGGGAGAGGGCAGCATTTTTCAGGATCAGACATGATCCTCAAGTCCGCCCTATGTCCCCCGTTCTAAATCCTGGGGATAACCCCTGACTGTGTGGTGGTTCTGGTACTAAAGCCATATTTCTTCTCAAAATTCTCAGGGAACAATTTCATTTTTTTCTCAGGTAATCAAAAACCTATGGCAAATGGAGCATAGTTAATTTATTTCTTAATCTAATTCATTGTCTTTAGATGCTGGAAATGCAAATTAGAGACTAACCTCTCCAGGGAGGTTTCTTCCCCCAGGGAAGACTGGTCCATCTTTGTAGGCAACAGTATAAAATCCAATCTTTGGATGATGTGGCAGTAAAGGAAAGGGAAAGAGACAGCCTTCAGGGCTGAGAGGCCCAGAGGATGTAAATGGCCCTAGAAGGCTGATAAATCCTTTTTGTACAATCATCATTCTGAAGAGCTCCCTTCTGTTTATAATCAACGTGACCAATCCCAATCAGATGATGTGAATAGTTTAAAGTAAGCTTCAGTGATTCAGCAGACCCAAATGAGGAAATAAAAAAGCATGCTGAATGAACAGAGAGAATAAACAACTCTATGTGAAATTTAAAAAACAAACAAACAAAACTAAAACCTTAGTCCAGTATTTTCCAAAGAGTTTTCCCAAGGCTTGGAAACTGCAGAGGTAAACAAAGCCAAAAAGATTTCTTTACTTCAGGACTTTTTGTAGCACCTTTAAAGTGGCAAGGTGCACTGTAAATCCCTAACAGAAAGAATTCCACGTGATTTAAAGGAGTCCCTTTGTCCCACAGAACATTAAAGGAATGTAATTGTATAACACACTCTCAAAAATGTTGACCTTCTCTATAAAAACACTTTTTACTATGCCGCAGTAAGGAGAACAATGGGAGTCAAGAGATCCGGGATAGAGTTCTCTCTCCCCAGCCACTAATTTACCATGTATTTGGGACAACTTCTATTGGCCTTAGTTTCTGCATCTATAAAATAAGGAAGTTGAAACTGGGCTTCTAAAAATTCAACGAAGCGACTTATTGATTTGAAAAGTGAAGATGGGGAAGGGAGTTATTTCTATACTGAATGTTAGTCTCGAGAGAAAAAAAAGACAACTGGACCTTAGTCGGATTATTAGGGATAGTTATAGAGGGGTAGGAATGAAGGACACATGTAAATATGAAAGACAATCCATAATGAAAGAGAAATGCAAAACTACAGTAACACTCTACTCCTGCCAAACCTAAGGTGATAAAATGTATCATCCAAACCAGGGCACTTCAGAGTGAAAAGGGAGCACAAACCAGATGGGATGCTAGAACATGTGTAGCCCAGGTATGACCAGAAAAAGTAAGATGAACAGTCACCCCTAAAGTCAAAACTCACATTTGTATAGTACCTAGAAATAAAACAAAATTTAAAACAAAACAAATCAGACATCCAAATTAGAAGAAAACAATTTCCTAAGCCCTTCTCACACACACAGAATGTTTTACCTAACATAACAACTAACTTTTACTGAGGGCTTACTGTATGCCAGATACTGTTCTAAGGGCTTCTACTTGTATTAACCCATTTAATTGTCCCAGTAACTTCTTTATGACGAGGAAGGAATCTGAGGCTGAGAAGTTAGTACTGTGAAACCTGTGAGAGTCAGAACTCAATGGGACTGCCTTGTTTTTCTGAGTCTTGCAAGTTTTCTCCCTTTGACAGGGTTCAGTCTTACCACTTTTCTATCTCTGTTAGTAGAAAATATTTGAGTTTTCCTTATCTGACAGGTTTCTGCGCTATAGAGGTTCTGGCTTTCACAGGTTTTACTGTTTTTTGCCCAAGGTCACACAGATAAGTGATGGAGCCAGTTTGTAAACCTTCAGTTCTACCCTTGGATACAGCTGAAAAGCAACAACATAAAGAGACTGTAAACGGCAAGTCAGAAACAGAGTCAGCCAAGAAACTCTCTGCCTTTTGGGAAAGAGTTCTCCCCAGCCGCTAATTTACCATGTACGTGGGACAACTTCTATAGGCCTTTGTTTCTGCATCTATAAAATGAGACTAGACTGAAGGGGGAGAGAAAGCTA